CCCCCCCCCGCCTTTACTGTTTTTCCACAGCAAACGCTGCCCGCTGCACTCTCCCTCTCTTGGGTGTGAATTATTCACTCTCTTCCCTTACTCCTTGCATTAAGTGCAACCTTTTCCGCAACTTAGCAGTGTCTGGGCTCGCTGCTCGCCTGTGCGCTCCGCAGCCCTGGGAAGCATCCCTGTACTGCCGCCACGCTCCTCCGCACCCCAGACCCAGCCTGGGGCGCCGGGGCCATTCCCGCTCCCGCTCTGCGCTCCGACCCTATCTGGCTCGGGCTCCAAGGTGTGGGCCAGGGCGGGTGCTGAAATCTCCTCAGTTGAGCTTCGGGCGCCGAAGCCCAGAGGGGGGCGGTAGCAGCGTCAGGTGGCTGCTCTGCGTCCCCGCGCGCCGCTCAGTCAGTCCCTGCTGCGTGCTCAGCCCGGACTGGAGCGGGAGATGATCAGCACCTCCGCCCCGGCAGCTGCGTCCCCGGGAGCAGCCGGGACTCGGGACCTTGGCAGGAGAAACTGAGATGTGACCCCGCCGACTGCCCATTGCCCTCTTTGGCATCCTGCCTGCTTCTCCCACTTCCTCTCCCACTCCACGGCCCAACTGGACAGCGAGCGTTTGCCTCGATCTCCGGGGAGAGAGGAGCGGCCACCAGGCGCACAGCCGTGCAGAAGTTGGGCTCAGCTGGGCAGCGCTGATCCAGCTGCGCCGGAGGGGTAGGCTAGGAAGTGGGAGAGGAAGGCGCAGCAGAGGGTCTGGGAGATAGGGTTTTGAGTGGGCTTTTCCTGCTCCCCCGGCCCCGGGGTCGGGGCAGGGGGAGAAATGCTGAGCCCGCGCCTAGGTGATCGCCGCCGCGACAGCAGCCTCAGCAACAGCTTCAGCATCAGCACCGGCGGGACAGCGACAGCGGGGGCGGCGCAGGCGCACTGTGCCCCGCGGAGCCTGCAGTTCCCGAGCGCCGTGTGCGGCACCGCCACAGTCTGGGCAGCGGCGGCCGGGGGAGCGCTACTACCATGAACTGCCTGGTCCTCCTCCCCAGAGCTGCTCATCCGGGTCGGGCTGGAGACTCAGTCAGGGGACCCCGTCGCCGCCGCCGCGCCCCCTCTTCTTTGGGCTCGATCTTCTCTTCCACCTTTTCTTCTTCCTCCTCCACCTTCTCTTCCTGCATTCCCCCCTCCCCCGCCGCGGATCCTGGCCGCTGCTCTCCAGACCCAGGATGCCGGGGGGCAAGAGAGGGCTGGTGGCACCGCAGAACACATTTTTGGAGAACATCGTCAGGCGCTCCAGCGGTAAGAAGAGTTGCAGTCAGAACACCCCTCCACCTCCATCCTGCCCACCCACGCCCCCCATCCTCCCCGTCCCATCCCTCTCCCAGGGCGGGAGGGGGACGCAGACCGCCCTACCTGGCCGCTGCAGTTACAAGATTGACCTGATTTTAGGTGGGAGTGGGAATGAGGTGGCAGAGGAAAGTTAGTTGCATCCCCTCCCCAAGACGTGCTCTCCCCGCTTCCACCTGTCCAGAGCCCAGAACCGCAGGAAGCCAAGGGGGAGCAGCGGCTAGGGTGTAGGTACATCTGGAGAACAGAGTTTCGCTTTGAGTTTCGCTTTGTTGAGGGATATCTTTTTTGTTCATCGTTTCCCCACATTTTTAAACAAGTAGGCTGAAGAGACTGATCAAATTCTTAGAGTTAATCTCAGTGGAAGGGTTCCCTCAAGTTGGGAATGGCTGTGAAAGTGGCTACTTAAGATTTAGTCTCTGGAATGGCTTTCAGGCCCAATGGGCACCGTTGAAAGGAGCCTTGTGTATGAGAGTGTAGCTGGAGTTGAACCTAAGAAAGAGAGTCAGTTCTGGAAAAATGGGAAGGCAATTATTATGGTCAAATTTGTGTTTAAAGTTTATTTCTTTTTTATTTTGCATTGCTCTGTATTGATCTATATGATATATTTGATTTGACTTAAACAGGAGAAATGTAGAAGGGAAGCAATAGCTACTGTGCTTTTAAAGTAACTGGAGAAAGAATTTTAAAAATGCCATTCTACCTTGCTACTGATGTTAGGGTTTTCTTGCCTTAAAGTGTCTTTGAATTGCCATCCATTTATGCATTCATTTCCTCTAAGATATCGGAATGGGGATGGTTATATATTTCACATTTTAGGACCTTATAAGCTTTGCATTTTACTGAAATATACATTTTCTACTTGCTTTCAAATCTTTTATATAATTTTCAATTTTGTAAGATATGTAAAGATATCCTTCAAAGATATGTAAAATATCCTTTAAAGTTTTTTGTTTTTTTTTCCTTCAGAGACCTGTTATTATATATTGAGATCCTTTGCTTGGAGAATTATGAGAAAGACATTTCTGCATGTTGATTACAGTAGATTTTGGACCAAAGCAATGGAAATACTCTATGCAATTCCATAATCATTGTTCATTCATTCATTCAGTGAAACAATATTTATTTGGGTGCCTTATACAAGAGACACTCTGTGGCGTCCTTCGGATAAAAAAATGATTAAGACACTTCTGCTCTCAAAAAGCTCCCTCCTTAGTGGCAAGACAGAGGCACACTCAAATGATAATAAATAATTAAATACAATTATGCTCTTCCTGAATTGGTAGATTAGGTTATATTAATTCTGAGGATATGATCTCTTCTAAAACTAGGCTTGCAAATATTTCCCCTGATTTGGGGACTATATGTAAGTGTCCCAAGGTATTTCTCATCAATCTGTGACATGGTATTTGGTTTTCATTTGAGGCTTTTGACTTTATTTCTTCGCATTTGGTCAATGCCTGATACTATACAAGTCTTGAACAGACTTTTTTGGGTTCAAAAAAAAAATAGCTAATAGGCCTGGTTTAGTGTAAAAAAAAACTATAATACTTTTAGCCATTCCAGTGTGATTTCAAATGTGTGTTTGATTTTTTATGATAATATAAATTCCTCATGGTAGCCAATTTCTATGTTTATACATTACTTTCTTATATTAATATTGTACAGAAACCTAGAATACAAGGAGATATTACTGTTAAAACAACCAGGTTGGGAAATTTAAAGGTTATTGGGATTAGCTATTTAAGATATATCAGTCTGTTTTTCAACTTTCTCATCCTCTTGGGTTATTTCAACTCCATGCAATTTGGTGTGTGAGAGGACTTTTCAGAGAAGGCTTTAAAGAATAAAATCTGGAGGCTGTCTATTGCTCTGCGTGGTAACCAGAAAGTAGATGAGAATTCCTTGGCTGAAGTTCACTCATATAGCATCTTTGGTTGAAACTTCTCATACAGACTGGAACTATGAGCCAGTTTGTAGAATATCTTTTATTTCTGATATACCATGAAATTAAGACTTATCTAATGTGGCTTAGAAAGAGCTGCTTCTGTTGCCTCCATTTTATATCTACCATCCAAGTCACTGGTTTAATGTTTCTTTCCATGGATAGCAACAAGTACAAATGAAAATTTATCTGTTTTTGCATTTTAAGTACCACCTCTAATTGCTTATGGCTAACTTTTTTTTTTTTTTTTTTTTTGCGGTACGCGGGCCTCTCACTGCTGTGGCCTCTCCTGTTGCGGAGCACAGGCTCCGGACGCGCAGACTCAGTGGCCATGGCTTACGGGCCCAGCCGCTACGCGGCATGTGGGATCTTCCCGGACCGGGGCACGAAACCCGCGTCCCCTGCACCGGCAGGCGGACTCTCAACCACTGCGCCACCAGGGAAGCCCTGGCTAACTTTTAATACCACTACTCAAAACCTCTGAGCTTTGTTTGAAATGTGTTAGATATTTGAGGAAGGTATATGAGCATGTGTATGTAATCAATAACGGAAAGTCTCAGTGCCACTTGTACAGGAAGAACCTCAGAAATTGAGAATTATGGTACTAAATTTCTCTACACATTTATGTGCGAGTGTCCCACACTTGTTGCCATTTCTATATGATTTGGCAGAGAAATGGAAAAATTCATTCTGAGAAATTGAGATTAACAGAAAATTCCCTTCAGGGTTCTCACAGATGGATTGAGTTTGTCACTGTGAAGATTTCATTATTCACTAACTTAACAACATTGAAAGTGAAGTGTTGGCAGAGCTTTAGTGGAAAAGAAAAGAGGCAGCACTCCTAATACAGCCAAGACTTGAAGAAAGATGGGTTACTTTTACCCCATGAAGTGCTTCTCTTTCTGATACAACATCATTTTCTTCTTATGAAAATATCAGAGAAAATATCAGTGAGAGTTGGAGTAGAAGCATATCTAGAGATACACACAGATAAACATACAGACAGGTATCTACCCAGACACAAAGGTAGATGCAGAGGAAGTAAACTCTCTCTCTGTCTCACACATAGAAAGAGCAAAAGAGAGATGTAAAAAGTAGCAGAAATACAAGGAGAGAGGGAAGGAGAGAGAGGGAGGGAAGGAGCATGGGAGGGAGAGGGAGGGGAGAGATAGAGAGAAAGAGAGAGAGAGAGGGAGAAAAGGAGGGATACTAGATATGAAAGGGCAATGGACACCAAGAGAAAACGTCAAGGTTTTATTTGTCCACGGTGATCACTAATGAGCTGAAATCTCAGCCAATTAGAAATCTATCAGAAAACTTCTTGATGCAGAAGAAAAGAGCAAGAAGTGTGGTATATTTGGGTATAGCTTTTAAACATGAGGATATCCTAATAAAGTTCCAAACTCCTCAGTTGCAATTTCCCAGAATAACAGTGCTGTATTCTTTGCCTTAGAGTAGCACTGTAGCCTATTTGCTGTTATTTTACACCTCTTGAGATTAGCTTTTTATTTTCCTTGTTTAGTTGACACAGTCTGTTATGGGAAAGCATTTCAAATTGTCACTGGTGATTCAAAGTCTATAAAATAAAATAACGAGGGCCATTGAGTAGGATGGATACAAACATACTTTATAGCCGAATCCCAAAATAGTAGAAGTAGGGAATTCCTCTCTTTAGTTTTTTCTTTGTTTGTTTGTTTTTGTTTTTGCGGTACGCGGGCCTGTCACCGTTGCGGCCTCTCCCGCTGCGGAGCACAGGCTCCGGACGCGCAGGCTCAGCGGCCATGGCTCACGGGCCCAGCCGCTCCATGGCATGTGGGATCCTCCCGGACCGGGGCACGAACCCGCGTCCCCTGCATTGGCAGGCGGACTCTCAACCACTGCGCCACCAGGGAAGCCCCTCTCTCTTTAGTTTTAAGATAAAAGATAAGATCATTTTTAGACAAATAAAAGGAATTACAATCATTTTTAACATGTGATTCTAGTAGGTATAGAGTACACATTATTACTCCAAGAGATTGTAAAGGTCAAAAGCATAAATGCAATAGCAAGGTTTAGATATGTTTTTGGCTAGTAGAATCAAAATATGTTGCTAGGAAGGGAAAGTTTGGGAACCATATGGTGAGTTCATCACCTGCATGCAGTGTCTCATAGGAGGCTCCCGTCCAAAATGCCTACTGACCGAATCTGTGTCTGGAACATTATCAGGCCATCTTCCCTTATTTAAACCTTGCATAGTATTTATGCAAGCTATTCACCAATATATTTTGGGCCATAGGGAGCAGTACACTTATGGGTAGAGGGTAGGTACCTGAAAGAAAGCAACAGTTTTTTAAGACTTTTAGGTAGAATTTTAGATTAAAACAAAACAAAACAAAACATTTCCAAGGCCTTCAATCTGATTATTGCTTTGGGCAGTACATTTTATATACATGTTGTCTTTGATTCCTTAACAAATAGGCAGAAATGATTAGTTTGGGTGGCAGTGAACCTGGTTGCCATCTTGAAAATTTTTAACTATAAAAATAATGTCTTTTAAATTAGAATTTACTGTTCTTTAATATTTTAAACATTATGAAAAACTAGAAATGTTTTTCTCTTTAGAGAAAAAAGGGGCCCAGGAAAGAAGAAAACAGAAAAGGCAATATTTTATGAACCACTTAATGTTCAAGAGAAGTTGAGTATACTCAGTTTTCCATTTTGCCTGAAATACCTGGTTGCACAAGCATTTTCTTTACTCAGTGCTCTTACCTATAGGAAAATCCAAAATCATTTTTGTGCTATAATTAATATTTGTAAAAACTAAGATCTTAAATGAGAACCTATAGGAGGGGCAATAAGGGAACTAGTGATTTAAAAACAAAACAAAAAAGAAATACTAACTCATAATTCTCATCCAATTAAAAAAAATTGTGGAAAACAAATGGATTATTGTGGGGGTTTTTTGGTATAGAGTACTTGATATTTTTTCTTGAAAGATCTAAAATACTATTCAGGAAATGTTGATAAA